AACAAAAAGACATTTCTGCGGTTTAAATAGAAATGACAAACAAGGCTAATGCATTTAATATCCCACACTGAGAGGCAAACTGAGGAGTGGGGGAGTGATAATTACCTGGGAGAGGAAAGAAGGCTTTGATAAAAGACAGGCTGTGACCTCAAAAAGCAAACTAATGTAGAGCAAGCCAGTACAGAGGCCAAAGGCGCCAAGACCTCAGGGCAAGCCAGTAGCATGGTGGTTAAGGTAGCTGAATTACCACGGCTGTAGCGTGGTTCGAGTCTCAGACCCAGCGAGGCTCTAAGAGCTACTAGCACCTACTAGGTCCCCAATATGCATTCACTGAAGAGTAAAGGGCAGCACCTGCTGTTCTAAAGGACAGCCCAAGATCTCAGGGAACACCTAAGTAGGACCTAAGATGGCTTTGCCTATGCATGATCAGAAATAGAGTCACGTTTTCCTTTTTCTTTTCCAAAAATCTTACTATAAAAATAACTTTCTCACATAATGAAACAAACTTCAGACATGGACAACTTAATTGGTTCTAAAATGGAATCTGAGTTGTTGTTGACTCTAAGGGAAATGGAATTCTGCCATGCTTCAGTGGGAAACAGCCAAATATAGAGTTCTGTATGAAAGGGCAATTGAAATTTCCTGCCCTTTGGGACAACATATGGTACTTCTTGATCACATATATAAAGGGAAGTGCCATTTTAGATGACACACTGTATATATTCCTTAATTAATGATCAGTGCCCCCACTAGAACATAAACTTCTCAAGGGTGAGAATTTAGGGTTGTTGTCCACTACTGTTCCCAGTCCCAGAACATGCCTGGCCCAGAGCAGGGGATCAATAGCTGAATGAAGGAACAGAGTAACAGGAGATTCAGTGGCATTTCTTTGGCTAGATGGCAGTTATCTTCTTTTTTTTTTTTTGAGAGAGAGAGTAGTATAGGGTGCGTGAGCTCGCGGGACAAAGAGATATAGATAGACGGAAAGCAAGAAATCACCCCACAAGGGGGAATGGCCATGCCATAATCCCTTCTCCTCCTGGGATCTTGAGCACATATGTACAGGCACCCGGCATAAGTTTTACGCCGTGTGCCTGGGATTCTAACCGTGGGCGACTCTGTGGGAGTCCAGCGACATAACCATTTTGCCATCTGTTGGTCCTGGCAATATAGTTTCTGAACTAGCCTATAACCTGCTCTTGGCAAGTTCTGGGGGTGCACTTATTCTAGCCCTGGGGGGTCGGAGGCAACAAAAAGAGAAGGGACGATTCCAGACAGAAAAATGTTAATAAGGGCAAGGCCTGAGGTTGAGTGAACCAAACCCAGGTTCCTCAGAGGAACTGAAAGAAGTTCAATATGACTGGACAACAGCAAGAGGGAGAGAGGGAGACAGAGAGAGAGAGAACCACCAGAAGGGGGAGAGAGAGAGAGCTGCCAGAAAACGTGGAGGACCACGGACTGTGTTTCTGGGCAGTGAGAAGTTGCTGGAGAGCTTTAAATTGGAGAGTTACATCATCAAATTCGCACTTGTTTGAATCACCCCATAGTTTAGTGGTTAAGGCAAACCCATCCCACAGGGCTAAACTCAGTTGAGTTCCTTCAAAGGAGCTTGAAAAACACACCAGGCCCCGAGTGTGTGTGTGCCCTAAATCCCAGCAGGAGAGAGAAATTGAGGAGATGGGATTGCAGCATGACCACACCCTAGGGGGGGAGGGCTTTCTCCCTCTCCCTCTCTCTCTTCTTTCTCACTGTTTCTCTAGAGAGTACACATTTCATCTGACAATTAAAAAAAAGTATTTATTTAATGTATGTATTTGTTCTAGTCAAGTTAAGCATCTTTAATTTGAAAATCTGAGACGTGCTCTTTCTGGGCTCGGACCTAGTTGGCGGCAATATGGCTAAACGCACCAAGAAGGTCAGCATCCTCGGTAGATATGGGACCCGCTATGGTGCCTCCCTCCAGAAAATGATGAAAAAAATTGAAATCAGCGAGCACACCAAGCACACTTGCTCCTTCTGTGGGAAAACTAAGACGAAGAGACGGGCTGTGGGCATCTGGCACCGTGGCTCCTGCGTGAACACAGTAGCCGGTGGTGCCTGGGCCTATACCACCTCTTCGGTTGTCACAGTGAAGTCTGCCATCAGAAAAGTAAAGGAATTGAAAGACCAGTAGAAGCTCTATAGACATTTGGAATATCACTAGCCTAAAATAAATGGGTTAATTTATGGGGAAAAAAAAAAAAAAAAGCTGAAATGGTCCAAATCCAAAACTTTTAGAGTGCTCACATGCTGCCGTAAGTGGAACATTCCACACCTGACCCCATGTGGTGGCTTGCAGGCAAAAATGCAGATGTACAACAGTTCATTCAGCATCCCCAAGGGAAAAAAGACCCTCCCTACCCCCTTTGGCTGCTACGTATCCTTTCCATGGATACCCAGATGCCCTCACGTAGGCACTCCCACAAAGGGCAATGAACGGCCTCTGCACCAGCTGGACACAACAGCTGGTCCCTCAGGATGCCCAAACTGGGCCAAGACCTCTGTGCCTTACTCACTGCTCACCCACTTCTGCTCTGTGGCATAAGACATTGGCAAGCATGTCAAAAAGGTCTGCAGGTACCCCTGTGAGCGATAGCGGTAAGTGAAAGAGGACGTGCTTCTGCTGATAGCACAGGGGGTCAAGCGTTGGAGAAACTGGGTAGCGGTGTAAGTGTGAAGGAGGTGGGGTGAGAGTGGAAGAAACAGAAGGACAGACTGCTGGAGTTCTATGCTCAAAGTGATGAGTGCAAGTTCATAAAAAGAAAAAAAAATAGAAAAATACTGCATAAGGCTAAAAGTGACTAAACGGACTTGGGTCCCTTCTCCAAGACATCTCATTATGTATGTGACAGTTTTCCAAAATAATAAATAAATACGTAAATCATCTGAACTTTGAAACCTTCCTCTTCCCAAGCATTTTAGCTAAGAAATACTCAACCTGTATCTTGAAATGGATCTAGAGGTAGGTAAGAATGGATATTGGGAGGTAAGTCTGGAAGCCACAGTCAACGAGAGGTCGTGAGAAATACGTACTGAGAATGCAGTGTGGGTTTGTAAAAATGATTATCCTCATTCAGGAACTCGGTTTTTCTCAAACTTTCGTGATTTAAGCTATCCGACTACCTGAACAGACTGAGATAAAGTTGTGTAAGAGCTGAGATAAAGATTCTGTTTGATAAATTGGGGTCGGCAGGTGGCGTGAAGGTTAAGGGTGCTGGATTCCCACATGGCCAACTGCGGGTTCGAGTTTCAGACCCAACAGCTTGCTTTCTCACCTTCCCTCTCTCTCTCTCTATCTTTGTCTCTATCTGGTTAAATTAAAATAATAATAATAAATAAGGTTAAATTAAAAAATTATTTTTTAAAAAATATAAATTATTTTAGAAACATTGCAAAGTGTTTTAATATTATCTTATTTATTTCGCAGGAATAATCAAGACAAAATATTTTAGGGCATTGGCCAAATTAAGTATTTAATGAAAATAACAAAAATGGCTTAATATTGTTGAGGGTAAAGACCACAGAGGTGTTTCATTTGTTTAATTTTTGAGATGTTTTGCTATAGGATATGTGCTCACTGGAGAGACAGACAGAAAGTGAGAAATCACCTTCCAAGGGAATGGCCATGCCAGAATCCCTTCTCCTCTGTTCTTTCCTTGGGATTTGGGGCATGCACACACATGCATCCAGCATGAGTTTCAAGCCCTCCAGTTCTGGGACTCAAACTGTAGTTGACCATGTGGGAGTCCAGTGCCTTAATCACTATGCCACCTGCTGGCCCTCACAGGGGTGTTTTTAGCACATTTTACAATTAAGGAAATTGAAGTCCAGACAGGCTAAGCAACTTCCCCAAGGCAATGCCAGCTAACAAGAGATAGCGCTAGGACTGAAACCTAGTCTTCTGAACATCAAAACTGGTTTCCATCCACCGACCTTACCACGCAGTGTTAAGGGGCCAGCTGAATCCTCTGGTACTTGTCCTAATCTGATTTAATGCCCCATTCAGGATTTTACTCATGAAAAAATACTTTTATTTGTTTATTTAGTATACGCTATATACACCATACCAGGCTCTGTAGCTCATGATGATGGATAAGACCAGGTCCTGACCACAAGAGGCTCAGAGTCTTATAAACAGCCAATGATAATGCCATCTGGTCAGTGCAAAGGAGAAAGAGTACAGGTGTTTTTGACACATCTAAGGAGCACAGAACTAAACTTGGGGTGAGGCTACAATCAGGGAAAACTCCCTTGAGGAATTATCATCTAAATTACTGATGTAGACTCTTCCCAATAACTGCCAAAACCTCTCTCCAAAATGAATTCCCAATTTGGACATCCTTTCCTTCACTTATGTTTTCTTGTCACTTACGTTTTCTTAACAAAAACAATAATTACTGATTACTTGTATAAAGAACTTTAACGTTTACAAAGTGATTTTGCAGACAGTATCACATTTGAATCTCACAACCATCCTCTGGAAACAGACCAAATAGATATTACAATTCCCATTCTGAGTGAAGAAAATGGGAGCTCAGCGATGAAATAAAATTGGGCAACTTCACACAACTGGTTAGAGAGCTAAGCCTCGAACCCAAGTGTTTAGACTTGCAGTCTATTGCTCTTTC